GATGTTGGTGTTGATGTTGGTGTTGATGTTGGTGTTGATGTTGGTGTTGATGTTGGTGTCGATGTTGGAGAACATGGCTCATTGTTAATTAGTTTAAACATAAGAACACGATGATTTACACGGTCACACACATAGAAGTTGCCATCATTATCAAATTTTAAGTCGATCGGCTGATCAAATTGCGTCAGTTTATCGCCTGTACCTATTGTCACGCATCGTTAGATAAAAAATACAAATTCAAACAAATTTTAATCGTATAATCTTACTTTATCATGTTACTAACAAAAATTAAATCGAGGCTTTTTTAAAATAATATACAAACGGTGAAAAAGAATTGTTTAGCAAGCAGCTTTTCCGTCTCAAGACGAAGTAGGATAGGAATAGTGAGATTTCTTCATCATAGTTAAACTAACTCTTTTGTGCTTCGGATTCAAATCCCGTTGAGAGCCTGCCTAATGTCTGATAAATCGAAGGAAATCAGTTAGAAATCTATATTCATACCTGATCCACCAGCAATGGTATCGCCCATAGATGCATTATACAACCAACGTTGAATTCGTTCATTGGCTGAATCAGCTACATATACAACATGAGTTTCATCATCAACCCATACAGAACTTGGTCTCGCCAATGATTCATGATCACTACCTCTTTCTCCTGTACTCCGTCCGGCCACAGTGGTACCATTGTGTGCATCTTTTTCCCATTTCTGAATTCGATTATTGACATAATCAGCGACATACACCGTACCACTGTTTCCATCGACATAAATACCTTCAGGAGAGCTGAGATACTCGCTCGTCGTTCCTTGATAATTTTCTCGACCAGCAACAGTAGTTATGATATTCGTTTGAGGTGACCATTTGTATACACAACTTTTACCAGGCGATGACATATAGACATTTTTCTCTTTGTCAACCGATACACCCATACAGTAGGAACACTCACCTCCCACTTGTACACCCTCTGATGCTCCTTTGGTCCACTTTTTGACAGCACTATCACCTTCAATAGCAGCATAAATTGTTTGTCCATCCATGTCGTCATCGACAAAGATCTTCGTAGGATATGTAATATTGTATATTACTGTAGTACCCGTTGTCTGCAAGTTATTGAGTTCAAACATTTGTACCCTGTTATTGCTTGAGTCAGCTACATACAATGTATTAGTTGGTCTATGAATAAAAATTCCCATGGGACCGTTGAGTTGATCAGGCTTGTCGCCTCTTCCGCCAACACCAGCCACTATATTGCCTGTTGTGTTCCATTTTGCACAAGGACTCACTTTTATCGATCCCACAGGCGGCAGACAATATAAGAATACAATTTGAACATACAGAAACGTTAATAAAACTTTGTTACTTTGCTCGTTAGTTAATGTACGAATGTACATGGCAAAAAATGTCATCAACAAAGACGACTATCTGTATAACTTGAAAAAAGAAAAAGTTTAGAGTTACAACACAACAAAGGTAAATTGAAGATGCATATAAGCTAAAAAAGATAAGCGATATTTATGAATGAATCACATATGTAATAGATAACAAATGAAAATGATGCATCAATGACACTATAGGATAGACCACATGTAACTTGATGAGAAAAAAAAAGAAGTTGTAATGATTCTATTTCATAAATTTTCTCAAAATTTCTATTTTAATCATAATTATAATAAAATCAACCGGTATCTATCAAACCTGGTTCCTATCCTACTCATTGCGACTGCAAATAATTGAATAATTGAATTGATTGAGTGAGGGGAAGAGTATTTTCCTTGTTCATTAACTGATTTTATTTTTAAAAAACTAGATATTTATACCCATCCTATCAAGGCACATACAAGTGAGAGAGAGGGAGAGACAACGATCTAAGTGAATCCCTTTTACTTCTTGTCAAAGTGAATAAAAACAAAGAAGATGATGTAAAATACATCTTCTTTCTAAATGAGTAAGAAGTAAACAAAAACGTACAATAAAATAAGAAAAAGAAAGATGTAGAAAATAGAGAAGAAAAAAATAATACGAATGTTGTTAGAGTGTTGTCTAACATTTGTATATTAGGTACTGAATGAGTTCATAGAAAAAGATCAAAAATGTTAATTTAACAACAGCAAACCTTGGCACATGATCTTTTGACAGTGACTGTTTTCTTTCTGATGACTTTGCAACATGGTTTGCAGCAGCACACAGTTTTAGTTACACAACATTTTGGACCGCAGCAGCAACAATCACAGCAGCAGGGATCACAGCAAGAGCAACAACAAGGATCACAACAGCATGGGTCACAGCATGAACCACAGCATGAACCGCAACCGCAGCCACAGCCACAGCCGCAACCACATCCACAACCGCATCCACAACCACAACCACAGCCTGGCATATTAATAGTAATAATGTAGTGAAGAGTAAAACTGGAGTAAGATGAGAACTGGTTTGTGAAACTATGAGAATAGGTGTGGGTATATATATAGAGACAGAAAAACGGCGAATGTTGTTCTCATTAGATAAAAACAATTCATTACTATCCTCATGTGACAATGCCTGACATTCACATGTGATAGAAAAATAGATGGAAAGAAATAAGTTACACTTTGTTACTATTCATGCAATACAACAAAAATATGAAATTCACGTTTATTACCAATGTCTTTCCTTTGATTTGTTTGATGGTGTAGAAAAACATCTAAATTTAATTTCATGTTCACCTTGTGATCACAACTGTCAAAGGGTAAATGTCATTTGATACACTTTTTCATAAAAACAAACTAAATGTTTTTGATGAAAAATATAAATTCTTACGTTGTAGTACACACACGTTGTAATATAGTAAATTTATGTGAACATCATAACACAATACAACACAAAAGATAGCATTGAGAAAAATATATAATATATGGATACAAAAACACATAATAATGATTGATCTTATTTCTGTTTTCAGTACTTGATATTAAAATAAACATATGTATATAGTCATACAAAAGATATTTCTATAATATGTAATGTTTTATTCTAAATTTTTCATTTATTAATAAAAAAATGGGAGCAAGCTATGAGGCGAAGCGTAATCCAAGTATAATAATGAAGAAAGCACTAAAGCCAAAAAAATTGTATCCTTATAATAAAAAATTAGATAGCAAAGAGGCATATATGTAAGAATGGCTAAGAATTTTAAAATTTGGCTTTGGTACTAGTGTAACCAGTAGAGCTAACACCACCCCCAGATGTGTATGTTTTTTCAATGGTGGTTGAGCGAAATCCACCGCTATTTCTTCCAACATAACCATCGTCAATTTCACCACTGATAAGACCACCTTCAATATGTGAAAAATAAATAAATCAAAAAAGAAAGACACACTACACATACCGTTTCTATTACCAGACGAACTTGTGTAGCCACTGGTCGAGTATGATGAATAACCACCTATATCTTCACCACCAATCCTATGAGTTGCATCTGAACTGTATGTTAGTGAAGTCACGCCAGATGGAATAGACTAAACAAATAAGAAAAATAAATAGAAATACAAAGAAGAATTATAAAAATCTATTTATACTTACAATATCTTCAATAACACCAGCAGCACGAGCTTGTTCAAGAAGAGTTCGACTATCAAGTAATTCTGTGCGATATTGGCTAATATAAGTTTGTGGATCTTCTCGAGTGACACCCAATTGTTGAAATTCTCGATGAACACGAGCTCCAGTTGATTCGTATTCGATAATGACATTACGTACTGGAGTATACTCTTTAGTTTCTTCGGCTCGGTGAACAATGGTTTTTCGATCGGCACCAGCAGTATATGGAAGCCAACGTTCGATGATAATATCACCTGTAATATACATTTATATTAATGGAATGAGATAATATGGAAGAAAAAAACAATAGACTAACGTGGTCGAGGTGGAGGAGCTGGATAACGTTCAATAATGACCGATCGTGGTGGTGGTGGTAAAGCAGGAAGATTTCGGATAATTGTTTCTGAAGGAATTTGAGCTGGTGGTGTGGGTGGTCTTTCACGAAGAATGAGTGGAGGAAGTTGTGGAGGTGCTGGTGCTTGTTGTCTGATACGAAGCGGTGGTAGAGGAGCAGGTGCAGGTGGACGCACTTCTTTGATGATGAGTGGCTACAGATATACAATGATTATTGAAAAGAAAAGAAAATTCTGAATTTAACTTACACCTGCTGATGCAACATGTGGCGGTTGTAAAAAGCGGATTCGAATGTGTTGTGTATAGGTTTCAGTACCACTAGGTATTTGTCGTCGAATGATTTCTGGATTTGGATCGACATAGAGACCAACACCTCGTACTTCAGCACCATATCTGGACCAAGCTGCATTGGTTTCAGCAGTATAGCTAGCGGCTTTACTAATTGCTGAAATATCATAATCATTGTTTCCTTCATATGTTGTTGAATGATAGGTACCACTGACGCCTCCATAACCCACACTTCCACTATCAATAATACCACCACCAGATGAATGTCTTAATGTTTCATACGACGACGATTTATGTTTACCACCAACTATCGCTGCTAATTCATCACGGTCAATTACACCATCGTTGTTGGTATCAACTTGATCAAAGATTTCATCTGCATCAGTACTATTTTTTGACGACGAATATGTATATTCGTGCTTGGATGTCATGCTAGTGTAGACGTGTTGTTGTAAGTGAAGAATAGCAAATGAAATATTAAAGATAGAGCATCATTTATATACTAGTTAATAATGCGCTACCTCTATTTTTCTTCATCTCTCTCTTTCTCTCTCTGTTTTTCATCTTCTTATGCGAGCACCTTTACCACATTGTTGCTCCTTCCTTCCCAGTCCATAATTTCTCAATACAACAAAAATTGTCGCTATATGGCAACATTGGATTGAAGAGGATTGATTATGTATGTGATTTATAGTGTATTCTTGTTTCTTCTTCTCTCTCTCATTTTCTTCTTACCTCAAATATTTGATGGTTTTTTTTTCGTTCTCGTCAAATATTGATTAGAAAAACAGTATCAGCGTACATCATCCAGCTACCTATTACACATACCATTATCAACAACTAAACCACAACAAACGGGATTCTTTTTTTACATGAAAAAATCTTACTACCGAGCATAAACAATAGCTCATATATTATCGATAGATTCAAAATTAGAGTACGTCTTATTTTTTGTTTAAAAATATATTTCGAAGACCGCTTTTTACATGCTGTTCATAGATATAATTTTATTTTTTTTTATTTGCATCGGTGAAAGTATAAAATGAAGCGATATAAAAATTTTATTGAACAAAAAAAAATATAATTAGATTCGTGATCAACGTGAAAAAGTGAATCGAGAGTGCTCTTATTTAGAATTTCCGATATCTTACATTTAAGCTAGTGGCACATTCAAAAAATCGTAGGTGAAGTCTGTATCAAAAGGTGTATCATCTTTGAATGATACAGCTCAAGTATATTGTGTAACTACCGAAAGTTTGCTGTGATATGACCTTGTTTTTTGAGTATTCTCTCTCGTTCCTTCCCTCTTCGAATTGATTGTATCATTTTCTTAATACTATTCTAGTATTTAAGCTCGTATTATATATGAGATAGATACATTTGCATGTAAAGCATACTTGACATAAACATCGTATTGTAAGCCACTTCAAATATGCGTCTCCATTTGTTGTTACAGTTATTTTTTGTTGTTGTTAGTTTAGGATATATACAGATATACGATATCGTATTTCTGCTGGTTTAGAAATCTGAAGATATATAATATGTTATTGATGCTAGTTTAAGAAATAAGAGGATATATGATATCTTGTTGTTGTTGTTCATTTGTATACGGTAAAGAAAACTGATCTTGAGATTGTATTTAAGTGAGACTGTGGGCGTGTGTGCAGTTGAAATGCGACTTTATGCGTAGATTTACAATGTATTTAAAAACCATTCATATGCACACCCTCAAGATGGTAAAAAATTATAAATCTAATGCCAACTTTATTTAAAAGTCATCTCATTCCGAATAAACAATGCATATATGTTTTCGTCAGTTGTATTGAACTGTAAAATCGAAACTGAATTTTCTATGCAATTTGAACAAGACAACTAAAGAAACTTTTCGTTTTTATAGTAATTTGGTTTGATATTGAGTCTAAAATTTTGATTTTTTTTTGGTCACGTAATATTCGTACAATGTGATCAAAATAGGGTGTGGAATTCATGATTCATCTACATCTGCATCCACATCCTTATATGCAGCGATATTTTGAACATCATCACTAGGTTTTGATTTTCAAAAACAAGGCACACACGTACTACAAATTCAGTATGTCGATCGTCTCGTAACAAAAATCCATTTCTCTAAACAGTTTGATGAAAATCAATGAGAGGCGAATTATTTTCATTTTCTTATGTGAGTTTATCATATTTTTTGTATCCTATACAGAAGACCTAATCATATTCTATAATTAAATAAATAATATATAACTATTTTTAATAACTAGTTGCATGTGAAGATATAGATGAATATATTTAATTTAAATAAAATATTGAAACTTTATGCTTTATTATTTATCGATTGTCATGCATTTTGTAAATTGAAAAAAAAACTAAACGTTTAATTTCTTTTTTAGACAACATATTCAATTGATTATAAAGAAGATTGAAAATATTTAATAAAATAATCGTATTCTCCTTTCCATTTAATAGATAGATTTCAATAACTGAGTAAAAAATATTTTAGATTTCGAATCAAATTTTGTTTTAAAATCCTTATCAAATCCATCAGAAATAATAAATGTAGCGTATATTTTATTAATTCATCGTAAATCAATATTATTATCGAACATAACAGGTTATGATATAAACATTACCGATAAATCGGAATGATTAATCACGATTAATCGTAATCTTTTTTTATTAGGTGCAACGTTTTTATTATTTTACCAAAAATGTGACATATATACTCATAAATTATATTTTAAGAATATTAGACTATGTTTTTAGGCGTTTAATCGCAATAAAAAGAATTATTACTAAAATTGGTGTCAGTGTAGTATCGCATTCGTTTGGTTGGATAATCGTTATATAGGTCAATGTCACGTCTATTCTTTGTAGTCGTTATTTAATTAAACATAGTGTATGAATGTTTAATTCGACTGCTCTTTGATGATTATCGTAATATCATATTATGGTCATAACCATGATTTTAACAAATTTAGATTCTTTTGGCTGAATGTAGAGTTTTGTTTTATCACTTTATATGTAAAGATCAAAATTTTACAGTTTTTATAGCAAGTTCTATTTGATCGAATTCACGTGTTAAAATGTCGATATTCCAAAAACAAATGAACAGTTTTCATGACGACATCAATCAAAAATTTAAACCTGTGATATTCTGATGAATCATTATATTCTACCTATTATAAAAAATAGTTATTGAGAAGGCCAGATATTTTGTATGATTTTTCTATGAACGTTTAGTTATATTTATTATTCTTTTATTATAATTTCGTACATATTATCTAACTAATTCGAATATTCTGTTATTGATTGCTATCTTTTTACATCTTCATATTATGTGTGTATTGTAACTATGATACTTTACCACATCTCTATATGTGTTATTTATAAGTTTTTTTCTTTATCTATTGTATTTATATTTTATGAATGATGCGTGTAGAAGAGTATATATCCTTTTTTTTATTATTACTTTTACTGTAACAGATGATACAAATAGTTAATTATTTTCAAATATAAGATAACTGAAAATCTAGATGTATCCAGTCGGCTTTTAATAAAAATACTGATTAATCGCGATTAATCACCGATTTTTGAACGATTTTCATGACATGGGTACCCACATCATCAAGATAGTTACCGAATTTTCAAAACGTTAAGTGTATAAGGTCAAGTCAGTCATAGTCGACTAACATTTATTTATTTTAAATATTATATTACAGAAAAATGAATAAATAGTTACATTGTTTTTATCTTAAAAGATGATGATGAACATGTTAATAATATCCACCACCATATCCATATGAATTTCCAAAACCACCACCACCAAATCCTCCGCCAAATGGAGCACCGCCGAAGCCACCACCGAAGCCACCATTATTCATATAATTTCCGAGTTCATAGCCCGCGAAAGCACCTAATCCTGCATCAATAAGTGGACTACCAAAACCGGTATGACGTCCGATTTCATAGCCAGCGAAAGCACCTAACCCAGCATCGAGAAAGGGATGATGATGATGATGCATATTGTATTGATATTTGTTTAAATAATCGTCGAATGAAATAAGAATGTTATTAACGAGAAGCTTTAATTGTCGTATTTATATGCTTGTTGTATATATGAGAGGTGCGTCATTAGATTATTCATAAGTAGGTGTATAATCACGAGCGATGATAAAACCCCCATTGATTCATCCTCTCCTTGAATTATTGCACATTTATTCATTTATTTTCTCTTTGTCGTTAAACATGACGTACGAATAGAGGTATAAGCCGTTAGCCAATTTTTGCTGAAGCCGACGGCTGGCGAGTAACGTTTTTGCTAGAGCCGACGCACGAACATATACGTAAACGAAATATTATATATAACTTACACGTCATACCAAGGGTTTTACAGTAAACCATCGAATTATTTTATTTTTATTACGTAATTCTAAACTCAATATATTTTTAGCTTTAAAAACATACGTGAAAAATCTTCAAAGTTTTTTCTTCACTAAAAAGAAGTGAATTTTCATAATTGAGATAAAAAATTTTGATGATTTCAATAGTCAGTTGCGTGAAAAACAAAAACGATTAAGCACGTCTTCATATGTTGATTGATCACTATTATCTACTATATTATCAGCTGCGATTCTGTTATCTCAAAGCTCCAACAAAAAAATATATATATTTTTTATGAGTATTCATGAAAAGTATTTATCATCTGTACTCTTCTCGGATTTTTTAATGCTGATAGCTTTTCCGATTACAATTAGTCATACAACGATAGTAGTGAGTCATCGCTTCATTGTCACTGTTGCATATATGTGCATAACAGTATACGTTTCGATATTGAAAATACAATCCATGGTACAAAAATACTTTCAAATACAGAAAATATACGAGCCGTGATAAAAAAACTCTTGAGGTTGGGTATGATTACTTATACCCTCAAAGAAATTTGAAAAAAGTTAAATTTAATTAACAGACAAGAGAAACGATTTACTGTACTGCATATACTGACTAATAATAGGCATTTTTATTTCAAATTAAAAGTGTATTCCAGATATTTAAAATATCCTGTGATTGAGATGAAAGAATCTGAGAATATTATTCTCAAATCGTCTTTGCTATGAGTTTTTCATACATTAAATGTGTTTAGTTGCAACGAAATTCAATCTATTAATCTGATTTGTATAATTCTAGAATATTTTTTCAACTAAATTTTGTATTAAAATAAACTCTATAGATGATTAACTACCATTTCTATTTGTATATTAACATTGGTATAGCAACTGATGACAACTCAAACAATTGTAGACTCATAAATATTGCTTTTATATTATTTGTTTAGCTATTTTTTTATTTTTCGCATGCATAATTTTGTGTTTGTGCACTTATTTTATTTTATTTTTTTTTGCCTGAAAAAAAAAATCAAAACAATTTTAACGATCCCATCATGAGAATTTACTTTTTGCCACCTAACAAACAAAATTCAATTTTTATATTAAGTAAAGTGGGTAATTTTTTTTCAATTTTGCCTAAACAATCTATCATCATTTCTTCTTGTTTTAAATACAAAGAAACGTTAGATACATTCACATCATCTCTATGGATACTTTTGCGTTCTCCTTCCTCTTTTTCTTTTATCGTCGTCGTTGTCGTCTCTTCTGGTATTTTTCTTTTTCAACGCAAAGAAGCATAAAACATAGTTCAATCATCCCATAGGCCTTCTTTTATATTTTTCTTCTCGTCATTGACTGCTTTTTTTCTTTTCTTTCCTGTTGCAAAAGCACATTACATTCATCTATAACATACAATTCGAACGTCTTTTTCAAAATTTGATGGCAAATTTTGTTATGTTTTGTTAAAACATATATCTGAAGCGATGGCAACACTCCTTCTCTCCTTTTGCCTTCTATGTATATAAAGAGAGGTTACTTACTTCAGTCAGCTGCAATCAGAACTTTTTCTTTTATTTCAATAATTCAAACAAGTAAGAGGTAGTTTTACAATATTCTCAACAAAAATTATTTGTTTGAAGATAAATATTTTTCCATATATCCTGTAGAGATTACAAACGAATTTCTTGACCTCCCTGTACTTATGTTTTATTTTTCTAGATTGATTAATATCTATACCTTAGTTTTCTCTTGTTTCCATCACAAATAAAATAAAAGTAATATGCGTGAAATAGTTCATCTTCAAGCTGGTCAATGCGGAAATCAAATTGGTTCTAAAGTAAGATATTAATAGATTGAATTTGAATTGAATATTTATAAAATGTACTTTTTTTTTAGTTTTGGGAAGTTATTTCTGATGAACATGGCATTGATCCAACAGGTACATATCATGGTGATTCTGATCTTCAACTTGAACGAATCAATGTCTATTATAATGAAGCTGCTGGTTAGTAGAAAAGAAAAAATAAAATATTTTTTTATTCAAATTTTTTGCTTTAGGTGGTAAATATGTTCCACGTGCTGTTCTTGTCGATCTTGAACCAGGTACAATGGATTCAGTACGAAGTGGAGCATTTGGTCAACTTTTTCGCCCGGACAATTTTGTTTTCGGTAAATATATAAAGATTTAATCATTTTGTTTTTCAATATCTTGTTATAATTATAGGACAATCTGGTGCTGGTAATAACTGGGCAAAAGGTCATTATACAGAAGGTGCTGAATTAGTCGACTCAGTTTTGGATGTCGTACGTAAAGAAGCTGAATCATGCGATTGTCTTCAAGGTTTTCAATTGACACATTCACTCGGTGGTGGTACTGGTTCAGGAATGGGAACATTACTTGTTGCCAAAATTCGTGAAGAATATCCAGATCGTAAATTAATAATTATTCATTAATAAATAAATATATATATTTTTTAAGGTATCATGATGACATTCAGTGTCGTCCCATCACCAAAAGTATCTGATACAGTTGTTGAACCATACAATGCAACCTTATCTGTTCATCAACTTGTTGAAAATACAGATGAAACCTATTGTATTGATAATGAAGCTTTGTATGATATTTGTTTTCGTACACTCAAATTAACAACACCAACATATGGTGATCTTAATCATCTTGTTTCAGCAACAATGTCAGGTGTTACTACATGTCTCAGATTTCCAGGTTTGTTTTTCTTCAAAAAAACAAAAAATCAATAAATTAATTTTAATAATGAAAATTTTCAGGTCAATTGAATGCAGATCTTAGAAAATTAGCAGTTAACATGGTACCATTTCCACGTCTTCATTTCTTTATGCCAGGTTTTGCACCATTAACATCTCGTGGTTCACAACAATATCGTGCATTAACTGTACCAGAATTAACACAACAAATGTTCGATGCCAAAAATATGATGGCTGCATGTGATCCTCGACATGGAAGATATTTAACAGTTGCTGCAATCTTTCGTGGTCGAATGTCGATGAAAGAAGTTGATGAACAAATGTTAAATGTACAAAATAAAAATTCATCTTATTTTGTTGAATGGATTCCAAATAATATTAAAACAGCTGTTTGTGATATTCCACCACGTGGTCTTAAAATGTCAGCAACATTTATCGGTAAATAATATTGAAGAAAAATAAAATTAGTTTTTTTTCATCAATGATTTTTTTCTATTTTTAGGTAATAGTACAGCAATTCAACAATTATTCAAACGTATTTCGGAACAATTTACTGCTATGTTTCGACGAAAAGCTTTTCTTCATTGGTATACTGGTGAAGGAATGGATGAAATGGTAACCTAGAATTAAATTTTCCTATATAGATTATAAATCAACGTCAAATATTTTAATTTAAGCAGATTATATCATTGTTATTAAATTTCTTTTCTTTTGTTGCTTATTTTTCGAAAAATTTTAGAGTATGATGATTCGCCCAGTCGTCGACGTCGACTTTGAGCATTTTTTGGGTCCAATTGTTACTAATCGATTAACATTTCTAATATTCTCTTTTTTTTCTCTAAGGAATTTACTGAAGCCGAATCGAATATGAATGATCTTGTCAGTGAGTATCAACAATATCAAGATGCTACAGCTGAAGGTGAGCAATACATTGATGATTATTTTATATATTTAATTTTTTTTTGTATTTTTTTTTTGTAGAAGAAGGTGAAGGTGCTGAAGGAGAAGAAGAAGAAGGTGCATAAAACTATCAATATTGCCATCTTTTTCTATAACAATACTTCAACATCAATTCTCATCTTTTTTCTTTAATACCGAAGGATATCACTTTGAAATGATGTTTACTATCGATACATCATTTGAGAAATACTTATATATATATCCATTCTTTTCTTCATACAATGTCTTTTTCTCTTACTATTCTTAATTAAAATAAAAATAATGAAGACATTTTAATTTAAAATTTTCACTCTATTTTGTCAACATGAAGTAATTTCATTTTTATAAAAACGACTTAAGTTGATTAATAATGATGATGTATAATTGAAAGATTCATTAACAAAATCGACTGTAGAAATATGTTCTTCGTTATTAACAATAGCAAATTGATGATTAGTTGTTGAAACTTATGTACACTATTCTTTTTAATTATTTTATTGATTAATTCATGATCAATATGATTGTAATATGGGTTCATAAATATTAACGAGCGAAATTTCAATTCATTTGAACCTTTTTCTTTATCTGATAAGACAGGTTTTCTCCCATATGATTTCACATACTGACTAACATAAAATGATGCAATGGTATCGCATCGAGAGAAGAAAAAAAATCTAATTCTATCTTGGGTGAAATCCTCAGCAAGTATGAGAATAAAATAAGATGAATGTTTTAAGATTCGACATATTGGTTATTTTTTCCGTCGGATCTCGGTGTATATAAATCGATTCTTCACTTCAGACATCAATATTGACATAGACCCTTATCAATATGGCAGGAATTCGATATACGAGATGTAGATATATTATGAGTCGAATTCAAGCGTTGGCTCAAATCGGAACTAAAATTCTTCGGGATAAATATGGAAAGTCAAGTCTATCGTCAGAAAAAGAAGTTAATCCAGCTGATGCAACATTGGCGGGTATAGCAAATGAAGTGAAGATTACCTGTCCAGGCTGTACAGAAAAACAATGCTGGGAGCCAAATTAAACGACAAAATCATTTTCATTGTTTTTTTTTGTTATACGAAAACAATACATCTATTCAAGAATATTTTATTTATGAATGAAGTTTAAGCATTAACTAAAATTATTAATTGCTCTTGACAAATTCTAATAAATATTGTCTAATCGATCGAACGTTAATAGTGATATACCAAGAGTATGGATGAAGGTACGATCTTGCCTCGTCATACTCACACTCATTCACCCTCACTAATCGACGAGACAGTATTACTTGTTTTATATGAATTGATTATTATATTTAAAGTTAAAATTAAAATAAAATATGTATAATAAAATTTAAATATTTAACAATACTTTATTTTATAACGTTTCGATAAACGAAGTTCATCTTCATGACCCATTTAACGATGTAAAAGTTATTTTAATATTTTTTTTTTCTTTTTACCTATATCATATACGTGTAGGACGGTAAGACGGCGATATTGATAGAAGAATGAGTTACTAGCTTTCTTCTTCCTTCTCAATATCTTATGATATACATAAAAAGAAAAAAACATTCAAATCGTTAAATGGGTCATGAAGATAAACTTCGTTTATCGAAACGTTATAAAATAAAGTATTGGTAAATATTTAAAATATATTATTTAATTCTTTTTTATTTTAATTTTAAAGCTTAATTATAAAATCTATACTTAAATATTCAATAGTATCGATTGATAAGGAATATTTTTCATTCGAAATAATTTCATAAGAAAAGAATTGCTTACACTTTCGAAAAACTTGTTTTTATTAGAAATATTGCCTATATAATTTTTTTTTTATATATCTTTGAAGATAACTCATCAATATTGCATTGTAATAAATTAGAAATATTTTAAAACTTATATTTTTATCAATAGAAAACAAAAATATTTTTCATTGTACTGAATATCATAAGTTATGTTGGAAATAAGCAATTATTTCTCAATTTAGTATGAATATAAACCAAACAAAGCATGGTCTTGATCGCAAGGATAAAAAACAAACATATTAAACGAATAGCTCGATGTATTCCTATAGCTATATTTTGTATTTTTTTTCTTTCATTCTTTCTTACATAGACATCAATTAAACCCTTTATAATGATACGTATTTTTTTGCTCTTTTTTTTCTCCTTTCGATTAATAATTCGATACCTTGTTGTATACAATACCATTTTTATATTTTTGATGAGTGTCTAATTAAACGAGATGACATATTTTTCTTCTCTTTGTATAATGATTTATTTCATTATTTCTATCTCTTTTGCAATCTAATAAAAAAAATCTTACCTATACTAAAATATTTTGCAAGGACATAAAAAAAGAAATATGTATTATAATGATATTATTTTTTATTTTCGAGATGAATGATAGCACATGGATGGGGCGTCGCTCTTTTTTCTCTCTATCTTTCTCGCTCTCTCTCTTTTATGTGTGAAGATGCCTAACCATATATATCGTCGATTACTAACCGCATAATCACAAATCCGCCATTATATACCAAAATAACAACACCACAACAAAACATACCTTATACTTTTATCTATACACGTAATATAAACAAAAATGTATTCAACTGGTATGTACAATTCTCAAGTTGATGGTCGTCGATTAGCTAGAGGCGTTGAATATGGAGCTTCTGGAGCAGTTCAAGGATTTGAAAATAGACGTGCTGTTGGTCTTGGAGCATTCCGAGGAGCCGAATTAGGAGCTAAAGCCGGATATCAATATGGACATAATGGACTTGGACAATATGGTGGTGGTATGAGACTCGGTGCTGCTGGACTCGGTGGTATGGGACTCGGTGGTGGACCTGTCATAACCGTTACGGTTCCATGGACACAACAATTTGGTATGGCTTACCAACAATTTGTTAATGGTGGATACGGAGGCATGGGTGGTATGGGTGGATACGGAGGTATGGGTGGATACGGAGGTATGGGTGGTCTCGGTGGTGGTCTTGGCGGTCTTGGTGGTGGCCTCGGAGGTGGTTTACCTATGGCTGGTGTTGCTAACTTCGGAGGTATGGGTGGTGGTCTTGGTGGCTACGGAGGAGGTATGGGCGGTTTAGGAGGTGGTATGGGACAAGTAGTACAAGGTGTTCCAATTGGATTTGGTGTAACAACATATTAAACAAATTGAAACTAACTTTATAAATCAAAGGATAATCATTTAATATCCTTGTTGTTTTTTTTTAAGGTAGCAAAGACATTTATATACACAATCTGTGTATTGTTTCTTTCTTTTTTGATTGATTAATAATAAAATTATAAAAACATTTGAATGTAATTTATGATAGTTATATATTATAATGAATATTTCACGAATGACTAGGTTAATAATAGAAAATATTTTTAAGGAATATTATTTAGTACGTTTTAAGAATTAATCATGAATAATAAAAAGAAAATTATTTTAAAAGAATCCGAGCAATTTATCTAGTTTAATAGAATTGTTTTTTTTTCTAAATAATTTTCTCAGCAGTTGCAGAATATTTATCAAGTAGAAGTTATAGTTTTATGTATTTACTCAACATTAGTTATTACTGAAATATTTAGTGTATGTTACAAAGTTCTGTTCTATCAGGAATTGATATAAGTAAATTCTGAGTTTTGTTTTATTGAAGATATGTATTGAGGAAAGATGGATGATGTATTTATATGTTGATGTGAATACAACAGATATGGACCAGTCATCGATTTTTTCACTCAAATTAAGTCAAGTTATTTTCATTGTCTTCATTTATTTACGAAAAATATTAGTATATAATGCTTTCATTCTATACAAGAAAAAATAAATTATCAATAGAATTATTTTCTTGATTTATGTCAAGATTTAACAATAGTTTGTTTAAGTTTTAATTATTTAATTATTATTATACAAACAGAACAATGTATTCTTGTTTATTTTTTATTGGGGAACGAAATGGCCAATAAAAAACTGATTTACGAGTTTCGAAATCCGTCGTTCTATTTCAACGTACATTTATCCTGTGACAATATTTGCTCTTTTAAATTTCTAATTTTCTATTAAAATTCAAATTGTAATCAAAACTGACGTACATAAAACATTTAAACGTGTATACTTTCACGCAGTTTTGAATTTAACAAATTCAAGCAGACAGAAAAATTTTCTTTACACTGAATAATTTCAGTTGTATTATTTTTGAAAAAAAATTCATAAAAAAATTGTGCTACTTTAAATTTATTTTTTATTATTTATAAAGAATTTTAACATAAAGTAATACTTTGTTGACATTACCTTCCATTTGTTTCAAAACAAGATCTCGACCTTTATCTAAAATTATTTTATATCGTTGAAGATGTTTAATTTCTTTTGGGTCTTTATTTTTAATCGAGTTGATTCTTATTATCTTGAGCCATAATATTAATATCTTTCTTATAATATTTTAATTCTGCTTCGAGACCATTTTCATGTCTTCTGATAAATATTTAACAATAAACTCAACTGTTCGTATATGATTATTATTTGAATTTCGAGAGTTTATTATCTTCGTTAATTCGAGTTCATTTCGAAATTTAGTAACAATATTTTCTTTTATTATATATTCAAAGCTTTACTATATATTAGATTTGTACTTTTATCTGTATTAAATCTATTGAGAAAAATCTGCTACCGGATTACTTCCGATAAAACTTTATTTTGAGTCGTATTTATTTCATCAATTTCTTCTGAAATTATTTTTATACAATAAATACCTAATAGACCACGTACTATAATTACTAACTCAACGTTTTGTTAAGCTTCATAGAAATTATTAATATTGACAAGTGCTTCAACGTGTTTTAAAAAAGCGTTATAATTGTTTTGCAATCGTTAATTAAACTTCTGCTATACATTTATACAATTCATCAGATTCTTAAGATATTGTAACACAAATTGTTTTTGTTTTTTAAATTTTATTTTATTTTTTTCAAGATTATTTCCAATCATTATTACTTGGATGTGAATGTCAGATTAATATTTATCTACATCCATATCCATACTCACTTTCATATGATAATTATCGCATTATTTAATGTAGTTTTAATCGGGAATAAATAAAAAATATATCAAAGAAATCGTAAGCGTTCATTTTTACTTATAAGTAATTAAGTAGTCTGCATAAGCTTGAGCATCGTGATAAGTGACAAAAATATGACTACCATCAGTTGTTGAATCGAACCCAATAGGTCGAGTCTTCATTGAGCCGTTACCTTTTGTTGTATTTCCAACTAGAACTCGTGCTAAGAACATGTTACGTTCACCAATTCCATTTGGTTTTGTATAGGTATGACTATAAGCTGCATTTGATGAAAAATAAACACCGACACCATACGCTGTTCCTAAGCACAACAACACAATCAATTTAAAATAAATAAAATAGAAATTAAACTTACCATTAACACCCGCAAAACTTCGATTGAAGCAATCGTCCATAATTGCATTAGCGGCATTATCAGGACAGCCGTGATACAAATATTTTTCGGTGTCGGTACTCAGACGTGCTTTAAAATGCTGACTATGTGCGAAATATTGAATATACCATCGTTCATTCTGAACACGCTCTATTCGTATAATTTGTGTGTATTTTCCTTTCATAACCTGATCAAAATTAGTTGAGATTGATTTATATTCATCTGTTGTATTTGATAACTCAAAACGTATTTTCTTTTCATTGGATTTTTCCCACGCCATGGGTCGCTGATAATCGAATGATTCTCGAATATCTCCTAGAAAAAAGGTTGAATCTAACTAGTTAAAGAAAAGTTTGAGCTATACCGTCTTTTGTTGCTAATACTTGCTTACAAAATTCATCATAAATATTTTGTTGATTAGGTTGTATTATGAACTTCACTGCAAGCGGCGTATTTCTCATAGTTAATTGATTTTTAACCTCTTTCACCATTGTTTTCACTACAACATCTACAGAACAAGCATGCTGTCCACATCCAAGGGCTGGGAATGCAAACGACGTAAAGTTATATGATAGCACATTTTGTATGACAGTCCAAATTAAATCAGTAAGAGATTGACGAAGTATTTGTTCATCTCTGTTAGGTTCCCATTTAACAAAAAATATTCGTTTGCAGGGTAAATTACCAGGTGGTGTGGAAATTAATATAGCGTTTGAATTGTTCTTGCATTCATCATTGTATGATTTGTTAACGTGATCACCAGCAACCTTTATGATTGCTTGTTTTAAAATTTGTGATGAGGAACTTCCAATGATGACATCGACCTACCATATCCAAAAATTAAAAAGTTATTTTATTATATGAACAAATATATCTATGTACCTTTTGTGCTGTTATGTCACCTTTCTCCACTTCAATAGTTCCTTTGTTGACAGCTAAAGTGATTGTTTTCACTGGTTCGATTGGTGGCGGTGGTGCGGACACGGATGATGCTGATATTATTGGTTGTTGTGGTGCGGACACGGATGACGTTGATATTATTGGTTGTTGTAGTGTGAATGACTGTGAGGATTGCAATGCATTGAGTTTCTTTTTAAATTCATCGTAAATATCAGTTCTTTCTGGTTGAATAATAAACGAAATCGAAATAGGATATTTTTGAAACATTCGATGAGCTTCTCCAACCATCGCTTGTGCGACAATAGTGATTGAACATCCGAACTTCCCGCAACCGATAGCTGGAAATACGATACTTTGATACTTTTCTAGTACTGCTTTTTCTACAGCATCAGAAACAAACTTTTCAAAAGATTTATGAAGAAGCAATGCATCGGAATCTTTTTTCCACGGAAGGAAATAAACCATTTTTGATGCGAGCTGTCCTTCAGCTTTAACAGCAATGATACATGAATCAGGATTTTGTTTTAACTGTGTATCATATGAAGCTTTAAAAAAGTCACCACCAGCTTTACAAATAGCGTTGAATAAATATTCAGAAGAGGAGCATACCACTATAATATCGGTCTAAAATCGAATTGAAATATTTTTCCTATATAAAAAATAAATTGGCGAAAGTAACGTACTTGCTGATTTATTACATCACCTTTGCAAATATTAATCGCTGTTTTTTGATTTGCGCTAGTGGAGGAGTCCTGCAACGGAAAGTATTTCATTGTATTATTCTTATCCATCGTAAAAACAAACAACATAGACAATATGTTTGTGTTACAAAAATAAAGCTCAACAGCCTCATATCTATAATTACCTGTGGCGTTACAGAAACAGTAGCGTGGGCTGTGCTGTTTTCCGTGTCTGACTTATTTTTTATCCCCGGCATAACTTCACGTCTCATTCCTATAAGCAATTGCATTTTTTCGACTAAACCCATATCTTTAGCATCAACAACTGGCTTGGCCGTCGAAGCTGTTGGTAATGATAATGCCGCAGTAGACACAACACTTGTTATTGGTTGTGCGGAAACGGTTAGTTGCGATTGTTTTATACACAAAACCATCGCAGTTGATTTTGATCCATTCGGTAACCATGGTGCATCACTTGCTGAAATTTTATAAAAATGACCTGCACACTGTAGTTTAGTCATATCACAAGAAGTTTGATCAGTGATAGTTGATACGTTATTATCTGTGATATTGTTTATAGTGAAGTACTTATTAGCATGGCCAATATCACATCTCTCGATGTGATAACCAACGTTTGTTGGTATTGCTGTCCATTTCAATCTGATTTGACATGAATTCCCTATACGTTTAGCTGAAAAGTCAAATAAGCATTGACATGCTCGAGGCCGTATTTTGACATCTGAAGAAGGTGGACTTATCGACTTCTCATTTATCGCTTTGATTTGAACTATATAACACTGTCCATTGATCAAATTCATTTGCACAAAGTAGTTGATACTTGTTCGCGACATTTCTGACAGCCACGTCTTTTGATTTTTAATCTGAATTTCATACATGGTTGCATTTGGAACGGTAGACCATGTAATAAAGGCGCATCCATCTCCATTTTTTACATTAATATTCGTTGGTGTTCTCAAGGACATCGTTTCTGAAATAAATCGTGAAATTTTTTAGCAGTGTATTAAATGAATATACTGTATTAATACGATATCAATCAGATTCGATGATTTTTCCTGAAGGTAGCTTTCATCAAACTTCTAACTTTCTCACCTATATTAAAAAATATAAGTCAACGATAGAGAGGCGATATTTACTGTGTTGATGTCTGAGCATCAATTTACAATGTTTCTAAGACAGCTGTCGAATTGGCGTCGAGACATTATGCATCGATAATAAATTATTTTACCAACATAAGATTTAACACATTGCGTGTCTGACGCACTTACCTTTCTCTCCTTACTGTGTGCAAGAATGCGCTTCGTCAAATGAAAAATCAAAAGTGACTGACTGGTTTTTTCCCCAGAATAACAGCCTTTTTGCTCGACTCCGTCGCTCTCAAGCGAAGCAATTCGCATCTTTCGAAGCATGGAAAAATCGATCGACACTTCGATGCTTTTTTTTTCGTTCCATCAACATTCGTATGAAAAATGTAATCGGTTCGTGCTGAGGGTGGCAATTGGCTGCGTTGAATTATAATGGAGTAAGACACGTGAAAAAAATCTTATTTTACATTCCTTAATATGCTTTATGCACAATTTGCTAAAAGAATTCAAACGCGCAGCAATATTCTTCGACGTCCAACGACATTGTCTGTGGGTGAGAGTGTGGATGTTAATGTGTCTCCTCTATATTCATACACACCCACCCACACCCACACCTTCGAATGGTTAATTCAATTAACAACTCTATAAAAGTTTCTTTTCAATTGTGAGAAACATATTTTAGTTAAAAAAAAAAACTTTCAATGAGAAATTATTTTGTCTTATATTTAGATAAATTAATTTCGAAACAAAAATATTCTAAATACAAAACTTTTATACTTTTCAAAAGAATTGTTATTTTAAATATTTATTTAATAATATTCTCATTATCTCATTAGAAAAAATAATTAGAAAACGATAGATGAGATGCGTTCTCACTGATACATTAAATCATATAAGAATAAAAAAGATCGTATTATTTAAATTAAAATTTATTTTTCGGTCATGAAATATATTTTGACACATAAAATACACAATGATATTCATTCATAAAAGAAAATTTACTTTATTTTCAAAAAAATAAACGATTCTATTGAATTACTTTTTATTCTCATCAATCCCTAAAATGTTTATTTTATCACTTATCTTAGAAGTAAAATTGTAAAAATATTATCTTTATTTATTTTATTTTCTAATTAAAATTATGGATAGATCAAATTTAATAATAGAGAATGAGTGAACGTGATTGTGTGTGTGGGCAGCATTTTATTATTGTCAAATACCTTCACCTTTTCAAATAATATTAAAATAATCATCATGATTTTCGATTCCTATATCATCTTTTATTGTGAATGTAAGATTATTTGCATCGAATAATAACAGAACATATGCATTTTTTTCAATTTTATAAACGTTTTTTTATGATTTTTTTCCAGCATCACTTGGAGTTTCTAATATTCGTGTAAGATCCATTATGAATTTGAACTAAAGTGGAATCTCAGCGTAAGAAAAACTATTTATACAAATTCTTTCTTCTAAACTTTTTTCGTTATTTTTCTATTTTAATGTTCACAATAACATGCAAATAAAGTGTCATTACCATAAACAATATTGCTAATAATATTAGCCGGTTCTTTATATTCAATTTTATTTTTCTTAACAACATGATCATGAGATTTTTAACATCCTCAAGAATCAATGGTTTCCATGTCGTAAATCTGTATCTTTAATCTTATTGCGACTTTATTTCGATTTTTTTGTGTCCAAATAATATTTGATTATATATGTGATAGTAGGGTATCTTAAAGTAAAACATAACGTATATAGATTTCCATAAAAATCCTAAATGAAAAAAACGTCAATCAATAGTATTTTATCTCAATCAATGCGATAACTATTTTGCATAGAATAATTCAAATTTTTTGCTACAAACTGTTCTGCTAGTTGTCTACTCTCTCAATGTTAATTAATTATATCTTCGTAGAGTTTTCCAATGTAATCTTTTTGACTTAGATTTTAATTATAACATGCATAACATTTATCGAAATCCAGTAGCGCAAGTATTGCAGCTGTCGCTCCTAATGTTACTGACTTTTCCCTCATCGGTTCTTATTTGTACTAAATTATTTGATAATTCTTTTTTTTTCATCACCAATACCGAGCATGTGAATTACTAAAACAACTTGAACTGTATGAAACTTATGAAGATAGCTGTTTTTATTGTTAATATATTCGACCACAAAGTAATGACTTGCATTTTGAAGTATCCACAAAGCAAAAATATGTAATAAAAACTTTGGAATTGTATATCTCTTACATTTGCAATTCAATCGACGGTATCTGATTTAAAAGATTATTTTTGTCTCTAAAACTAATCTTTCAAATTCAGTTGTAATTGTAAGATATTTTTTGCTTATATCTTCGTAAATATCTCGAAATTCCTTAAATCTCTTTCTTAATTTATCTACTATATAATCAATACTATGTTTTTGAATATTTTCATTGAACAAAGCATAACCATGAAATGCTTGATGTTCGATAATAATAGAATGGCCAACACCACTTAAATCATGAATTAGTATAGTTCCTACTTTTGAAAAAGTATTCGAAGCTTTCGCTCGAGTTTCATAATTATTTAAAACACCCATACGCTGAATATTTCAACTATATATTTACGATCTACATATAACTAATAAAGCTATTTATTTGACTTTTTTTCAAATGATTTAAACGTGAAACTTCCCAAAATGAAATTGCGGAGATGACACGATTTGAAAAAAATTCCAAATAGCTTGTAAATTCTTGATGCTATTGTGTATATGTGATGGTATGTTCGCATTGCCGAATAATTCGTTTCATTGATTGTATAGATTAATAATATTCGTAACTTTGTTTTCCAATCACGTACGCATTTTATTGCGAAAGAATATGCGCAGATTCAAAAAAAGTCTTCAAATATTTTAATCAATTCAAATCAACACGATGACTGTGAGTGTGGATGAAAGATAGAGTAAAGAGACTCACATACACTCGCACCCCCAAATAAATTGAAAATTGCAAGTAGAACAACTATGTCATCATTTCATTCTTGATTAAAAAGAAAATGAATATGTTTACATAATGAAATGCAAACAATGTTATTTTTAAAACAATATATTCATCGCAAATAATAAATATTACTTCAGTTAGAAAGAAATCTCAATATTTATAGATGCGTGAGTGGTCGATAACGCAAATTAATCCATCTTATTCTCAAGATTTGACGATAAGCACAAACAGGATCACAATAGTTTTGAATGATATTTCTATTCAAGATGTTAATCAACATAACTCGAACGATCAAAAAGATAAAAGGTAAAATAAACTAGCAAACTGTTAAGTTTCAAGATACATTACATTGCTATTTTTTTAAGAAGGATGTCATCAAACAAACTCTCACAATACTGCACATCATTATCACCATTCTTTTATGGTCTATTAATAGGTATACTCACAGCTGGTTTGGTATTAGCCATCGTTACTGCACTCTGGCTAACGTCTTCAAAACAAACATTGACAACACAGAGTAAATATCAAAACTCTTTGCTTTAAAAGTTTGATCAAAATTTCATTAGCTAGTGACTTCTGAAATGATGCTTTCATATGCTAGTACATCCTACAACTCAATATATTTTAATTACTTCTTGCATATCTGACCGTTAATATATGCGTAATACACATACATATTTTTAAAACTTCAAAATCTCGAGATTTTTCGATGATTTTTTATTGAAAAAAATCTTCATGTAATGAGAGAATCCTATTAAAACGAAAAGATTGTATCGAATAAATTGAAATTTTAATTAAAAGATAAGGTATCCTCTCAAAAGAAAAGAAAAGCAAGCCTTGAAAAGTTCGATCTTACAATTTTTCTGTTTCTCCTTAAAATACAAACCAAATTTCAATTTTGTTTTAAATCAAAACATAAACAAAATATTAAAGGTCTCCAATCAAATTTTGTATCTAGTTTAGAAATTCTCTGACAAAGAAGAAAAATATTAGCATTTTATTTCTTTTCGGAATTATTTAGTTACTTAAGAAAACAGATAAAGGGTGATGCTACTAAAAATTTTGATAGTCATTTTTAATTCATTCACTATTATTATTGTTATCTTGACCACCTGGATAATTAATAAGTAAAAAATAGATAATTCTTCATCGAAAAAGAAAAATAACAAGAGTATTTCACGAATATATTCATTTCGGTTTTCCTAAATACAGATATTTGTATTTAGCTGTGACAAAAACAGTTACAACGATATCTTCAACCACAACAAAATCTACATCATCCACATCCACAACCTCAACCTCTACGACTTCCACATCCACAACAACAACAACAACAACAACAACAACAACAACAACCACCAGTGAGTCAGCAAAATAGTTTAATAATGACATAGACTGTTTTCAGAGGATGTGGGTATAAGTGATATATTAAACTCTCATCTATACCCTCAACTTCATGCATACATACTATCACCTCGCCTCTTTAAAGTGAGGATGTGGGTATATAGTATGGTTGAGAGGTTGACATATTACCCACACGCTCATCAAAGTGTTTAATAAATATATCTATGATTTTAGCAACTGGAATTTGTCCTTCTGGTTTTACTGAAACACCATCCGTAACATGTGTTGATCTACTAAGTGATTTTAATAATTGTGGAACGATTGGCTTTGTTTGTTCATCAAATTATACAATGTGTTCAGGTGGTATATGTGAGACAGCACCTAATATAAAACTTAGTGGAGCAATTCCTATATCTGCCTGGGCTGGTGTGACTACCGATGATAATATACAGCCTGTTACCCTTTCAGTCAATATTACACTCTATAATTATAGTACTAATTCTGTTACTGTATCAAGTAATGGGGTAAGTTAGTTTTTGAACATAGTTTTGTAGTAAATAAAATGTGTTTTAGCTTCTCTGTCTTGACAGTTGTACTAGTGCTTATTCAAATGGAAATCTTCCAACTACAAATGTTGGAGGTCCAACAGCATTTGCTTTCTGGGATGATCTGATGATCTATGGTAGTACTGGTCAAATGGTTTATTATTCAACCACTGGAACAGCACCTAATCAAATAACAGGTTTCGAATATTATTTAAGTCCTATTTCTTCACCAGCACAATATTATCATTTTCAAATGCTATTTTATGAAAATTTACCAAATATTGTTAAATATGTTTATTTCGAAATATACGCCGGAAGTAGTTCAGCAACTATTGGTGTACAACGTAAGCTATTTTTTCTTGTTTCTTTCATTCTAATGAAGACCTAAACTATTGTAAAACACAATCTGAAAGGAGTGATATAGTGTATAGGACAGTATTTTGTATTTCCTTCTCTTCCCACATATTGTAACTAACATAACATCAAAAGCCGTTACAAATGCTGAGCAGAGTTTATTATAGATGTGAGCTATAAATGACTTCTCCTCAATAATAAAATATTCTGAACATATTCCTAGATTTTTTTATCAAGAGTTTTAGCTGTTTGTTTAATAAAAAAAACGTTCTAGAAACTTAGAGGATAATTTAGTAGGTTGAACACATTATGGTCTCGGGGAGATCTTCTAAAATCGAAGGACCTTTTATTATGAGGAGAATTCACTGCAGATCGTGCAGAAACGTTATTAATTAGCATTAACTGATGTTATAGTAGCTATATTGTGTTTCACATTTTAATTCCACAGTAATTGTGCTAACGGTTTTTTTCATTTAATCATAGAATCATCATCAGGACCAAGCATAACTTATTCAGTAAATCAAGCATATGCAGTATCATATAATACAACACTTCTATTCGATACAAATGCGGGTACCTATACTCGCTTATGATGATACATACTTATGCAACTACATCAAGACAATAATCTTTTAGAATTTATGTTTTTTGAAATTTGTTCGTTTGCTTCATGCTTTGTCTTTTGCTTTTTTTATTGTAAACAATAAAAACAAGAGTGCGTGTGTGTAATAATGTTAGAGGATGATATACATCATCCTCTTGTTAGTCACACACATTTTCTCTTTTCATCATCTTTCATTTGATCATTTCTGTAGTTTCATTAGTTTTTTCTTTGTGAGGTTGCATGATCATTATCTAGTTTCACCTTTGTTATACTGTACTATTTATAGTGCTAATTTATTTCCAATAAATTATTACTATCATTACTTATCCATCTTCACCATCTTCGAGTTAGTAGCCTCGAGCGATTCGACTTGTAGTTAGGACGACACGCTCACAAATTATTATCAGTATTGATATCCTCGTTTTATTACATAACGCAGGGTGTGAATGTGAGCCAATCAAAGATCAATATTCATATCTACATCCATCTTCTTTATATATGAATAGTACTATAATCTAATTAACTTATTAATAATGTATTAATATCTTGTATAAGCTGAAATAAAACTCTTATTCGATTACTTATTCATGTTTTCGTATTTACGTATCTCTAGTTTCTTATGTTTTTACTTTTAAGGATGGGTGGGGTGAGTGTGGATAAAGATAAAGAGAATACTCACACCCACACCCTCACCCACACTTACACCCACACTTGCAGATAAATTACAAACAAGTGGTCAATTTATTCGATTACATTCATTAAATCTCATCAATGTAGATACAGAAGAATTTCAAGTATTTGAAAAACATATAATGAAATATCCTCTTAAATCATGTTCAATTTCACCCGGTAATTCTTCGAAATATTATTACAACAAGAGTTTTGATTTGATACTTCTATCATATATCATTTTACATAAAGATCTTCGTAAATTTGAATTCGATGGAGAAGTTAATCTAAAAAATCAAATACAATGGCCTGTTCTATGTAGATTACAGCATCGATCAACGATTGGTATGATTTACAAATGGACACAATTGAATCTTTCCTTTTACATTTACCTATGCTAAAGAATCTTCAATTGATCGTCAATTTTGTGATGGTTCTCGTTGGAAAGAATTCATTCAAATGAAATTACCATTATTAAGCACGTTTCAATTCTGATTTTTGAATTCTCGAGATTTTAATTCAAATAGCGGTACTGTAGAATCACTAATTGCACCATTTCAAACTCCATTTTGGATCGAAAATAAAAATTAGTGCGTCAAATGCGATTATGAATACAACGAAAATCGTTCGATATTCCAACTTCGTCTATCCAAGTACTCACAATAAAATCTTATGGATTTTTATTCTAGATTAATTCATTATCGAATTATCTATTTCTTAATGTGACAGAACTTTACTTGAAAATCAATTGTAGATCTCATTGCAGCAAATATGAATATATATTTCCAATACACGTGTGGTTGAGTAAGAACATAAACAAGGAATCAAATGCGTCAATTAATCATAAACATATGAAGATAACACACTCAAATAATTAGTCATAATTCAATGACTCTATTCTCATCAATTTATTTTGATTTTCATTGTAAAAGAATCAATATATTTGTAATTATTATATTTATTTTTATTCAATAAATTTTATACTTGAAAATAGTTGTGTATATCAAGGATAAGTATGAGGAATGTTGTAAAATGGTTACTACAATCATTATATCCATATCCTCACACCCTCATTCTCACCCGAAACGAAAAAAAAACGACGTTTCTATGCATAAAAAAAAAATTTTAACGCGTAAAAACGTCGTTCTTGTTCGTTGCTTATCTGTCGGAGTAACATTCTTTTCGATATGTATATATCTCGCGCGAACACGTCGTACATACGTTTCATTTTTCTTTTTCTTTCGTATCATTTTAACAAAAAAAACAGTACAAAACAAAATGAATGATGATGAAATAATCATACGAGCAATCAATATAATTGACCAGAAGATCGACAGTTTGGATGTTGACAAAGAAAATCCTTCTTATGTTAATAAATTGATGGTTATTCGAGAGGATCTTGAAAAACTATTCAGTTTAACATCATCAACAAATAATTTAGTTCATCTGTTTTGTCGACGAATGAATAGACTATTAAATTATAACGATTCTATTCCACTTCACAACTGGCTTGAATTACAAAAGGAACTTCTTCACATATTAGAACATCATGATGATCCAACTGAAAAGCTTCCTTACATAAAATTTTCATCAATATTGAAATTAGAAAGTAAATTGGAAGAACGAGAAATACAATTCAAGAAGAATTTTGGTCATCGAAAGACATTTCATGAATTAGTTGAACAGCATCGAATTTTACTTCGAGAATATCTTCAAATATGTTACTCACTTCACTCTAAACTTAAAATACATGGTCTAGTCGAAGATGTCGACAAACTTTGTCAAAAAATGCATCAACAAACAGATATCTTGCAAGCTGTTCTTGAAACTAATGATCGTCTTCAGGCAAAATTAAAATCGATTGAAATTCCTATAACATATCCTTTTCATACAATGAAACATTGTATGGTAAGGTCTTTCTTAGATTTTCAATCGCGTGATCAAATGATTGATAATAATAATGTCTTTTTGCCTGGTATGGATGAGATTCAATTGTTGCATGATAGCGGAATATCAATCATTAATAACAACATGGCAGAGTCTCGATGGTTTGTCATTCTTGGTGATCCAGGAAGTGCAAAAACAACTTTACTAAGATATATTACACAATTATTCTCTTTAACAGCTCTTCAACATAATGAACAAGTTATAAACAATGGAAATAATTGGGGTCCAATTCGTATTCCAATTTTAATTCGAATCGGTGAGTTTGCTGATCAACTTAATATACAACCAAATTTGACTTTATTTGATTATATTGGTAAACACACTTGGTTTTCACAATTTTATGGTAATGATAATATTGGATATGTACTAAAAGAGTTTATTCATCATGGTCATACATTGATTCTTCTCGATGGACTTGATGAAATTTCTACATTTGAACAACGACAACAAATCATTAATCTTGTTCAAGATTTTATTCATAATTATATTCATGGTGATGATTTTCTCTCACCATTTGATGATGTTCCAAATCGGTTCAATAAAGAAAATCGACAACGTATGTTGTCGAACGAAAACTTTTCAATGAATAATTGGAGATTCAATGAAACACAACCACCATCGATGTCCGGTGGTAATCAAATTATTATAACATGTCGCGTCGTTGGCTGCAATTTATATCGATTTGATAGTCAATTAATTTCTTATTATAATTTACTTCCTATGTCGATCGAAAATGTAAAGTTATTCATAAAACAATGGTTTACTAGTGTTGATCAGGAAATACATAATATATTAATGAGTGAAAATATTCATTTAGACAATAAAACAATAGAAGAACGACAAAATAGTATAAATCGGATACTTCCTACTGGTGAAATAACCTTCTTATCTCATCCATTAATGTTATTTATGGTTTGTTTATATTTGTTTAAATTATGGAATGATAACCAACTTCCAAAAACTCTTGTAGAATTGTACAATAAAACTGTACGGTCAGTAATGTATAACAAGACGAATCTACAACAATCAAGAATACCACAAGATGTTCTGATCAAGGTTGAGACTAATCTTGCTTTATATCTTCATTCACATTCATCATCTGGTGTAATTGATGAATTCGATTTAAAACGTATTTGTAGTTTAGTATTAAAAGAAGAAAATGTTGTCACAAACAAAGCAGAATTATGTCAATACACAGATGAATTAGTACAAATGATCAGTTCAAATAATAGTATTATTGTTGAACGAGGATTGAAGGTTTTCAGCTTTGCTCATTTATCATTTCAAGAATATTTCGTTGGATTATCTCTTCTTGATGAATCATCTATTGACAATACGATTCGACGTATTCTAACTTATACTATCAAACCACGCTCTCATGAACCAATTCGTCTAGCTCATAGTTGGATTAGTCAAATGTGGTCACGGGAGAATTATGTTACATATTGCAGAAAATTAGTTACGGAAACAATAGATTCCGTACTTCCATTAGGTTCTCTTCTGTTTTTGGATGTTCTTCATAGTTTTCAATGTTTACCTTCTAAACAAGCCATATATACAGCACTTGATAAATTAATCGATCATCCTTCTATGTTAATTTCCACTGGATATTTAGGAAAAGGTTGGTCTATATTACCATTGAATATTCTATTTGAGTGGATGAAATTAAGTCTAATAAATGAAAAACGTGTGGTAAAATTCTGTAAATCATTTTTATTTTCAATTGTTTCAATCGAAGATCGAAGATTATGGGAAAACTATCACGATAGGTTACGAGCTGTTTGCCAACAATTGTGGTCATTGTGTTCTATGAGGTCGTCAATTGATACTATTATCACTAAAACATTGCATGGTATTACGACATCATTATATTCACCATGTCTTCTTTTTCAAAATGGACTACCTCAATATCTTATGTCACCTAATATTTTTGCATCTCAAAAGCATCCATTAGTATTCAGTGTTATTATTACATTATATGGTGGAGTTTTTAAGACACAAGCTGAAATGATTTTTTCTCCTAAATATATTAATCGCAATTCAAGAGTTGGTATGCCAGTCATCGATTATTTAGCGAATACAAATGACTCTCATTTAATTAAAATTGAAAGACTCATTCAACAATACGAAAATATGTTGCAAATGTATTCACCTGAAGATATTTCAAACGATATTATCGATATTATCATTGTTCTTATTTGTTTGCACGGCTTATCAAACCCGTCAATATACAGTAAATTCGCTGTATATCAGGCACTACCGTTGGCTTTGGAGAGATTCAATTTGATGTTATATCTTTTAAGAGACGATAAAAGATTTGTTTGGAAGAAAACAACACAAAAAATGTTTTCCGATGTCAAATTAATTATAGACGTATTTGCTTCACAATCCAATCGAACCGATGTAGAGATTAAACGTTTTTTATTAGCGTGCATGGCAGTATGTGATCGACTCGGTATTGATCATTTATCATATTCGTCAAGTTTAACAAATTTATACAATAGTGATACTAATCGTTCAAACCGCTTACTAAAATATTCTCACAATAAAATACTCAACACACAAAGTACACCCGTTTGCAAAGAACCAACCTCTCAAGCAATAAAAGATGTTCATCAATTCAATGATCAGATATTGATTTTGATGAATTTTGTACCCGATCATCTTAAACATCTATATCATCGTTTGCTTATCAAACCTGATGAACAATGCGATTCTTTTCTATTTATTCTTCTTTTATCACAATGTTTGAATTTCTTCACCGACCGTATCCAATCGAAAGAAATATTTGCAACTTTGAATGACTTATTACCACTGTTCAGAGCATACAAAATGGAAAACTATGTATTAGCTCTCTTTTGGGAAAGTAAATTTCGCTTTACGAACGATCTGCAGAGTGTTGATTATGATTATTTTCAAAAGTTTTCAACAAATTATTCGAAAAGTTGTAAGGATCTGATTATCGAAGAACAACAACGAATTTTAGAGGCAAATGAATTGAACGATGTTCGTCAAAAAGATATCCAACTTTTTGCTGCATCATTTTCGTTTGCTCGACTATGTCAAGTTCAATATCGTTATGAAAAAAATACAAACGTGGGTCAATTCGTTGCTGGCAATGAACAGATTCTATCTGCAATAGAAAATATTAATGATCAAATTCTATCTATCATAGCTATGCACAATATTTCATATATGGATTATACATCTATTTTATCTTCGAATCCACATGGAAAATTAAGATCAAAAGTAGCTTATTCATTATTAAAACTTTTACGGAATCTACCATTGCTAACATGTGCTCTAATGGTTTTTCGATGTCAATCAATCTGTGAAGATTTTCCATCAATTTTCCGAGATCTTAGTGAAATAATTGCTAAACAATTATTAACAATTCCATTTGATGAGGAAATGGTTGAAAATCAGAAAGCAGTTTATGTTGCACTTAATGCAATGGAAGATTCATCGTTGAATATTCTTTTGATAGAATTTGAAAAACAATTTCAAAATGTCGACAAATTTTCTCATATGAATTCGATTATATTTCATGATTATTTCACTACTACAACATCATTCGGTGAATTGGACGAAGTTCTTTTATCGTGCATGTATTTAAGCGAACTAATACATGATGTTAAATGTTT